TAGGAGTGCTCATTCAGGATGATCTAAAATGGCGTAGTCACATTCTTAGCATTACAAAGAAAGCTGCTCAGCGACTTTATATCCTTCGTGTCCTGCGCCGCAATGGCCTTCCACCCAAGGATTTACTTAGTGTCTATACTGCTCTAATACGTTCTGTTTTGGAGTACGCATGCCCGGTATGGCATTCTAGCCTTCCATCTTACCTTGTGGACAATTTAGAACAGATACAAAGAAGAGCTTTCAGGATAATCGAACCACTAATTTCTTACAGAACTGCATGTAATGTTTTGAATTACCCCACACTGGAAGAAAATAGGGAACGTCTTTGCCTCGAACAGTTCAAGAAAATTAAAAACTCACAGTTGTCATCATTAATTCCACAGAAAAGACTAGACGCACACGGCCGCCAGCTGCGCTCCAACAATAACTTGACTCTTCTTAAATGCAGGACAAAACGATTTCAAATAAGTTTCTTTTCCCGCAATAACGTCAAAGCTTAATGAATTATCGCAATAGACTTCTATCACATTTGTAATAATTTGTTAATAGAATCTTGTGAGCCGGTAACCCAGTCCCCGGGCAAAATTTTTTATTAATATAGTCTCATTTAATTTGTAAATATTTTTTGTAATTTCTTGCAAATATGAAGTATTTCATTATAGTGCCGAATTCATATCTAATAAACCATTACCATTACCATTACCAGTATTGATAACAGGAATAGCCAAGGTGACTCTGAAATGTGTGAACCGTGAAGATTTCTCCTGATGTAATTCGGTGATTAGTAATTGGCCGGGGTCGCCGAGCTCCTTCTTGTCAAACAGGCACGTAAACATGGTGGAAGGTCATACAGGGTTGTATTAAGAGGCTCTAATGTTTCTATGGTAACAAATGGTTACTTTCTGCATAGTGGTACCTTATCCAGGAGAAATCGCTCAGCAAGATTCCGCCTCCCTAGAAATTCCTCAACTCGATAATATCTAAGGCTGACCAAGGGCTCGACCTAAGCAGGAAGTATAAGTCCCACCTCTTGTTCTGTTTATACTATACAGTTTTCTTTATTGGTAACATAACTTCCACAAAAAACATGATTTAAAGCGGGGTAGCCCTGAAATTCGCTCGAAAATTCAGTTCCTGTTCTTCTTGATATTTTTGCTACTTATGGTTTTTAACTTGTCTATGAAGAACGAAATTTTCACTAATTGGCATTTTTTAAATCTATGAGGGAGTTTGAAATTCCCACTCTTGTTGTAACGGCGACATCATTTTTTGGGTTATCAGTTTACAGCGTTTTATTCTGGCATTTAGCATGGTCAGACGCCAAACAGGGAAGGATTGAACCAGGCACACTTTATGTAGTGTTATTTAAGGTATATTAGGGACAAAATCATTATGGGATAGACTTTCCTATTGCTTCTACTCTGCCGCAGTAGTCACAGAGCTTCTAAACGTAGTTAAACGGCGTAAATATTGTTGTTGGAGAGAAAACTAGATCTGTTTGCAGGACGAAAAGGAAGGGAAAGCTAGGGCCCTACCTTGAAAGTTTCAATGGGGGTAATCGTTGTCCGTAAAACAGCAAAAAAACTTTGCCGATAGACGTTAAAGCCATCAGCCCATTGAAAGCCTCTACCTTGTGTTTTATAGGATTGATAAAGGTCATTAACTTTCACAAAATATGACTTGAAAATTACTCCTTCTTTAAGAATCTAATAGAATTAGAAATTCTTTCCAACTCAGACTTTAAATCTCTCAAAGGATACTGAAATTTTGCAAACGGAGCTTTTGTATAGCTCATACTGTTTATCTTCGCATCAAGAGAATTAAGTTTCCTTGTGTATTGCGGATCTCCTAATAACTGATCTCTGGTCGCAACTTGCATAAGAAGAGATACGATTTCTTCAAATTCTTCTGAAGCTCTTGAGGCAAATTGTTCGATGTTTCCTAATTGTAACATTGCCTGGGATTTTTTGGAACGCAGTAACGTAATTTCGTTTTCCATCCGTTGCATAATCCCATCGACTAATTTCCGGTAATTTGGCGAGCTTATTTCATCCACGGTTTTATCGCACTCCTTCAGCTCCCAGCAGTTGAGTTCTCGTGCCTTGATGATGCACTCCTCTTGTAACCTCTCCAGGTTGTATGACTGTGCAGTAACTAAAAGATCTAAGCACTGGTATGAGATATATCCTTGAGAACTTAACTTATCCATCAGGAACTCTTCGCATTTCTCGGTGAGCTTCTTCATCATATATTCCCTTGCAAGATTCAACAGGAACGAGCAGTTCTTGTCATCGATCTCTTTGGCAGAAGTTGGGTAAATAACCAACAGCATCTCTGTTATCTCGCTCACATTCTTCTCTGGAAGTGGCACTTCCGCAGCTGTTTTCTCGCTGAACTCCGAAGTAAACATTCGCGAAAAAACTGGCGACCACATCGCCAAGATACTTCGGTGAACATGAAATCTTTCCTCTTCCACCTTCAAAACTACATCACTGAAATGCCATGGTTGAGAAAAGTCAAGCTGATCGTTTGTTAATTCTCCTTCCATGTCTTTTTCCAGATCGGATTGCATCATTTGTTGCGGGAAATATACGTCTGCCGTTTACAGCTGTGATGTGTATGACGTATGGATATGACGTGATGAATCATGGGATTCATGATTGAGTTCAACCACCGAACCAGGATGTTGTGTCTCAATAAGGCTCAGTACATAACAAGCTGCTTTCGTGGGTGTTTTTATAGTAATGAGTTTCCGTGTCGGGCGATTATCGGAAATTGTCGGCTATTCCAATATGGCGGACTGTTCCAATAACACCATTTGCGATTTAACAACACTCAAGCGACGTGATTGAACCAAATTTCAACATTATTACATACTTTACATGTAAATAATACATTGTAGAGGTTAAATCAAGGAAATTTCGCTAAAAAACTTGTACGGCTATTCCCTTCATCCTCGTCGATCTCAAGTGTCTTGTTCAGTCGATTCAGCAGAGAGTGTTAGCTTGACAGACTTAACACTGTAGTCGCAAGGATCTACGCTTGCCACGGTAAACAAAACTTGTGAATACTACCACCGCTATAAAGCCCTTTTCACCGTGCTACTGGTTAGAAAAATGAAATTTCTATGGTCTTGTACCTCTAGCCGGTAGGATCTCGGGAGGCTTAGAAAATACAACCGGCTAGAGGTACAGCCTGCATATTTAGTCGACTTTGCTCAATTTTTTACTACGGTTTGCGTCACATTTTACTTTTCTGCACTCTCTGAGTTTTATTTTTCAAGAATACATTTACACTTTATTTTTAATTGGTCTAGATCTTGTACCTCTCGCTGGTAGGATCTTTAAGGTGGCTCAGAAATGAAAATACTACCGGCTAGAGATACAGCTCGCACACTTAGTTGACTTTGCGCAATTTTTATTACAGTTTGCTTCACATTTAACTTTTCTGCTCTCCAAATTAGTCTTATACTCCTTGTAATTACTTTCTTCATGAAGTATTTGCATTTATTTTTTGTTTTTTTTTTAAGTCTTGTACCTCTAGTTGGTAGGATCTTAGGGAAGTTAAGAAAATACTACTAGAGGTAGAGTGCTAGAGGTACAACTTGCATATTTAGTCGATTTTGCCCAAATTTTTAAACAGTTTGCTTTGCATTTTACTTAATGGCATTCCATATTGGTCTTGCACTACACTTTTTCAAGAATACCTGTACATTTAGTTTTTTGTTTTTTTTTAAGTCTTGTACTTCTAGCTGGTAGGATCTTAAGGGCCTAGAAAATACTACTGGCTGAAGGTACAGCTTGCACATTTAGTCGACTTCACCCAATTTTTATTACAGTTTGCTTTGCATTCTACAATTTGGCATTCCATATTAGTCTTGCACTACAATGGAATCACTTTTTTCAAGAATATGTTCTTTTCCCTTGGTCATATACCTCTAACCTGTATAATCTTAGGTGGCTCAGAAAATACTACAGGCTAGAGGTACAGCTTGCATTTTTGGTGTTATTAGCTCATTTCATTTAATTTTTGATTTATGGAAAACCTTTCTACATTCCATGTTAGTCTAACTTATACAACTGTAAAGTCACTCCATAGGTATATTTCTATGCTTTGCAGTCTTGTTCATCTGGCTTGTAGGATCTTTGATTACTCAGACAATACCTCAGTCCAGCCAAAGGGGCTGCCTATATATGTGAAGTAAGCTTGAAATGATTGACAATTTTATGTTTAATATGAATTTAAGGTAAACAAATTTTAAATTAGTCTGATCTGTATTTTCTTTGGTTGTGGATTTATTTCAATACAAATCAAACCAGTTTTAGATGAATTTGACTTGAAATTCATTTCAGACTTGAACTTGTCAACCAGATTTACTGAAGTTTATCATGTAATATTCTGCATAAGTATGAGTTGAATTTCTCAGAGTGGAATAGTCTCTATTTTCATGATATTTGTGTTTGATCAGAAGTGCAGTGGAACCTTGATTTAACAAAGTGGTGCAAGGGACTTGGGAGATTGGTTTGTTATATCAAGGGTTCGTTACATTGAAAACCTCGATTTAACAAAATTGTGGAAAAACAACCAAAATGTTCTTTATATCGAGGTACAGTTAATGATTGTTGTTATTGTTTTTGTGTGCGAGGTATGGTTAAAAATCAATTTTTTTTGTGTGTGTGTATGTGTGTAATTGATGTCTGTAAGAAGCTACAGTACACGGTATAGGTCTGCATAATTAGCTACAGCACCGGAAACTAAACAGGTCAACAAAATTTTAACAATTGCAACTGGCTTGTCCAATGTCATAATGAAAAGGTTAATGAGTAGTGCAACCGGACAGAAACTTTAAACAAAAGAAAACCACTTTACTTCACTGTACCACTAAATTTTCAGTGATATTTAACAGCATGTATGACTGTATGAAACCTTCAGGCAAGTTATTCTTAAAAATATCAACTGTTCTTTTACTATAGAATTTATACAATTAAATAAATGAGAAGAGCCTTTTTCTGTCTTATTTATTATATTTTTCAATTGAAATTCTCTTTGAAAAGGAGTAAAACTTTCTTATTTGAACAGCAACCACAAACCCTTTACTTATTGCCTAATACTGCCTACTCCCAAAGGGAGAACCTTGACATGTGCTTTAGTTTCAACTGATTCACCATAAATAGTCAGATTTCATGCTTATGGCTTGTGAGTTGTGCCATCAAATAAGTAGTGGTAGATCCACATGGAAGGTCTTAGGCACCTCATCTCAGACACCATCTCCCTATCACCTTCCCTACCTAATTTGGAGTGTGGAGAAGTTAAATGTGAAGCAAGCCATGATAAAAAATTAAGCAAGGTCAACTAACTATGCAAGCTGTACCTCTAGCCAGTAGTATTTTCTAGGTCCTTAAGATCCTACCAGCTAGAGGTAAAAGGTAAAGTCTGTTTACGAGCCTAGTGGCCCATTAGGCCGGTGCTTAACTCCGGTTTCTGTAGCATGAAGCGACTAGGAGTATTTCTACTCCCCCCAGGATGGGATGCCAATCCATCGCAGGGTTACCCCCGGCATTAAATTCCCCAGTACCCATTTATACACCTGGGTGAAGAGAGGTACTGTGAGAGTAAAGTGTTTTGCCCAAGAACACAACACAATGTCCCGGCCGGGGCTCGAACTCAGACCACTCGATCCAGAGTTGAGCACACCAACCATGAGGCCACCGGGCCTCCACACCAGGTAGAGGTACAAGACTAAAAACAAATAATAATAAAATGTAAATGTATTCTTAAAAAAAAGTGATCCCAGTGTAGTGCCAGACTAACATGGAATGCCAAAAAGTAAAATGCAAAGCAAACTGTTTAAAAAATTGGGAAAAATCAACTAAATTTGCAAGCTGTACCTCTAGCCAGTAATATTTTCTAAACCCCCAAAGATCCTACCAGCGAGAGGTACAGTGACCAATCAAAAAAATTAATGTCAACTTATTCTTTTAAAGTGATTCAAACTAAGGCATGTACGACTAATTTGAAGTGTAAAGAAGTTAAATGTGAAGAATGTCATGGTAAAAACTGTGCAAGTTGTACCTCTAACCAGTAGTATTTTCTAGGTCCTTAAGATCCTACCAGCTAGAGGTACAAGACTAAAAAACTAAAGGTAAATATATCCCGGAAAATAGTGATCCCATGTAGTGCAAGACTAACATGAAATGCCAAAAAGTAAAATGCAAAGCAATCTGTATTAAGAATTGGGCAAATTCCCCTAAGATCCCACCAACTAGAGGTACAAGACTACAAAAAAACAAAAAATAAATGCAAATCATGATATTCATAAGGAAGTAATTCCAAGGAGTGTAAGACTAATTTGGAGTGCAGAAAAGTTAAGTGTGAAGCAAACTGTAATAAAAATTGGGCAAAGTTAGAGGTACAAGACGAAACAAAAAAAAAGTGTAAATGTATTCTTCAAAAAAAATTTAGAGAGTGCAGAAAAGTAAAATGTGAAGCAAACCGTAGTCAGAAATTGAGCAAAGTCGACTAAATATGCAGGCTGTACCTCTAGCCGGTAACCCGAGATCCTACCGGCTAGAGGTACAAGACAATAGAAATTTCATCTTTCTAACCAGTAGCAAGGTGAAAAGGGCTTTACAGTGGTGATACTATTCATAAGTTTTGTTTACCGTTGCAAGCGTAGGTCCTTGAAGGGGTACGTCACGACTCGCACACGCGCAGCGGTAAGAATATGAAACAGGGACCTTCGAGGGGCCGCGGGAGCATGGTATGGAGTTTTGTTTGGTTCGGTTTGTTTCAGATTTGTTTTTTGCCTTGTTTTTTGTTTTGTTTGGTTTACTTGTTCGTTAGTTTGTTTTTTTCGTTTGTATGTTTTATTAACCAGCACGGTTTATGGTTATCGTAATTTGTGGTTATCTTTTAAGATAGCCATAACCTGTGCACCAAAGCATCGATATTAAGGCATTGCAAAAGTATGCAACTGAAAATGAAAAGAAGTACGAGGTCACTGAGTTTCCAGGGTCGAGAAAAGTCGATCAGATCATGAGGCAATCTTGACTGCCATATATCCAGCCATTCTTACCTATTTGGAGACACCTTACACCGGAGACGTGTACGGCTCTTCAAACAGAGGGTGCTAATGCAGGTCGGTATTTAGTTGTGGGAACAGATTCTCAATGCTTCCAAATTTTCTCGGAAATAACGGGAAAATAACTTTGTGAAACGAAGTACTGTGACATAACATTTCAAAGCGTTCCACTACCTCAATAGTGTGACTGAAGTTTTCTAACAATACAATTTTTTCACGATAAGCGATAAGGTACAAAAAAAGACGTAACTAAAAAGAAAACTTGACACATTTTTTTTTATTCTTCGTGCATGGCAGAGGAAGTCTCTCAGAGTTGAGGAACGGAGGGGTCCTTTTACGAAAGAGACCTCCTCTTGATCAATTAGCTTGCCATCCTCTAAGTACTGGAAAGGCACCCCTCCCTCCCACGAAAAAAATCCTGTTTATCCCACCCAAAGCTGTCTGGGTAGACAATGGATCCCAAGGTAAATGCTTTGCATAATTACATGTTTGGACGAACAACGTGTGAAAGGATCTTAATTACAAGAATGAAAAGAAAAAGATTATT